GTGAAGTTCGACTACGTTATCCACTGAAGTCTGGCTACTAGTTGTGTTGCCCAGTAACAGGCACAACATTCTGGTAGCAGCTCCTTGTTGATCGACGACGAGCCCAATGACGAATAATACTGGTGATAATCGCCCCCAGGTTGATGAAGCCGCCCCCTTGAGGATTAGTCTCTCGATGCCCCCTGCTTTCGATGGTATCTCCGGTAGCTTTAAGGATTGGCTAAGACGTTATGAGCAATGTGCCCTTGCCGCCGGATGGTCCACTCAACAGCAGGCAGAACGCCTTGGTCTGTACTTGAAGGAACCCTTTCTATCTGGTTGGGATGCTTATGCTAAGAAGGTGAACTTCGAGGAAGACAAGAAGTCCCTCCTGAAGATATTTGATCATGTCCGTCCCCACCGAGCCCTGAAACAGTTCCAAGAACTACGCTGGTCCAAAGGTCAGCACCCGGCTCTCTATGCTGCAGCCCTACAACGACACCTCAACCGGTACTATACCAAGGAGAAGTTCCCCGAACTCTCTGAAGCGGACAGGACTAAGAACATGGAGGAGATGATCATCGACCGACTGAAGGCAGATCTACCCCCCATGGTCCGGTTCCAGCTCCTCTTGAAAGAGCCTAAGAACCTCAAGGAGGCCTGTATAATGTGTGACAGCGTTCTTGCCCTTGACGACGTTAACCCCAACACCATGGTCGAGACACCAGCTAAGGTTGCCACAGCCGCTGGTGTTCTCGGTAGCCAACCGGCCGATGACTCTACGGATACGCTCACGAAAGCTGATGCCAAGCGTATCGAACAGAAGCTCTGTTAGATTCACCGGTGTCGAAGTAGATCAACTCAATACCAGTCGATTAGGGATGATGATTATAATACTCCCAAATCTATCTTGGGATTGTCCAGCATGCTTCGTGGCGGTTACAAGTATCCAATGGCGAGCGAAGGATACAAATGAAAGATATGAATAACGCACACAGAAGATACTACTGGACAATAGGCTGAAATAGGTTAATTATTATTTAGATATCCTCGGTATCTTACACGCCCCCCTCTCGATGCGAAGCATCGCAGAGACGAGCCACCTCAACAGGACGACTGGCCACTGAAAAAAATAGACCTCACTCATCAGGCAAATCATCTTGTTGGGGAGGATCGCGATCATACTGAATCATAGGGACCACGTTGCGAAGGTTTTCGATACTTGTAGTACCGTTGGGGTGAATGATACGGACACGATTAGTGCTCACTCTCTCCTTCACATGCCCTAGTGTGAATGCCGGTGCCAGCTTACGCGGTACTCCAGTGTAGACCAGTACTGGCGATGCAACGGGAAAGGGGTCGTTGTCGTGATTGGCCCCAAGACGCTTGTTGACCGGTCTCAGCTCGGAGTTGCGCTTCTTAACGATAGACCACATGTGGCTGAGGTAGATGTTACGAGC